TGTCAGTGACTGTGTGTGTGTGGATCTGTGTGTGTGTAGATCTGTGAGGTGTCTGTATCGTGAAAAAGGATCTGTGTGTGTGCGGATCTGTGTGTGTGGATCTGTGAGTGACTGTGTGATTGTGTGCGTACGGATCTGTATGTATCTGGATCTGAGTGACTGTGTGAGTGTGTGTGCGGATCTGTGAGTGTGACACTTTGTGCACGTGTGGGTGTGTGAGCGGGGAGCAGTAGTGTAGCGGTTAGCGCTACGCTGCGCTACTAACCTGGCCACCCAAGTTCGATTCCCGCTCACGGCCAACACCAGTGACGATTATCTGAATCTTTCGTGGGCCTTCCCTAGGTCGACTCAGCCTCAAATGAGTAACTGGTGCAGTGTGTAAACATCGCCACTGAGGAGACAAAGGCGGCGTGGTGTTGGCCACCCACCCCCTCGTGTGCCGTGCCAGCCTTTATAGATACTACTGGATATCAGCAAGTGATGTCACTCTCACTCTGTAGAACAGGGTGAGATCATACAAACTGCACTGGCTCTCACTCTGTAGTACAGGGGGAGATCATACTAATTCCACTCACTCTCACTTTGTTGTACAAGAGAAGATCATACAAACTCCACTCACTCTCACTGTAGAACAGGGGGAGATCATACAAACTCCACTCATTCACTCTGTAGAACAGGGGAAGATCATACAAACTCCACTCACTCTCGCTCTGTAGAACATGGAGAGATCGTACAAACTCCACTCACTGTTACTTTGTAGAACAGGGGGAGATCATACACTCACTGTTGCTCTGTAGAACATGGGGAGATCATACAAACTCCACTCAATCTCACTCTGTAGGACAGGGGGAGATCATACAGACGACACTCATTCACTCTGTAGAACAGGAGGAGATCATACAAACTCCACTCACTCTCACTCTGTAGAACAGGGGGAGATCATGCAAACTCCACTCACTCTCACTCTTTAGAACAAGCGGAGATCATACAAACTCCACTAACTCTCGCTCTGTAGAACATGGGGAGATCATACAAACTCTACTCACTCTTATTGTCGGACGGGGAGATCATACAAACCCCACTTACTCTGTAGGACAGGGGGAGATCATTCAAACTCCACTCTCACTCTTTAGAACAAGGGGAGATCATACAGACTCCACTCACTCTCACTCTGTAGAACAGGGGAAGATCATTAAAACTACACTGACTCTCACCCTATTGAACAGGGGGAGATCGTACAAACGCCACTCACTGTTGCTCTGTAGAACATGGGGAGATCATACAAACTCCACTCACTTTCATTCTGTACAACACGGGGAGATCATAGAAACTCCACCCATTCACTCTGTAGGACATGGGGAGATCATACAAACTCCACTCATTCACTCTGTAGAACAGGGGGAGATCATACAAACTCCACTCAATCTCACTCTGTAGGACAGGAGGAGATCATACAGACTACACTCATTTATTCTGTAGAACAGGAGGAGATCATACAAACTCCACTCACTCTCACTCTGTAGAACAGGGGGAGATCATACAAACTCCACTCACTCTCACTCTGTAGAACAGGGGGAGATCATACAAACTCCACTCACTCTCACTCTGTAGAACATGGGGAGATCATACAAACTCCAGTCATTCACTCTGTAGAACAGGGGGAGATCATACAAACTCTACTCACTCTTACTGTCGGACGGGGAGATCATACAAACCCCACTTACTCTGTAGGACAGGGGGAGATCATACAACTCATTCACTCTGTAGAACAGGGGGAGACCATACAAACTCCACTCATTCACTCTGTAGAACAGGGGAAGATCATACAAACTCCACTCACACTCACTCATTCGAACAGGTGTGGTGCAGCTGCCTCCAGATTGGGTGGTAGTCGTGGCTATATCACGTCGCAGAATCCATAACACCCGACACTCAAACCTCATCCAGCACACTTCCCCGAAGCCTAAGATCCTTCATGGTAATAATATCAATTATTCTGCCGCTAATCATCATCATAATCATAATGATGCTCCCCTTTGATGGTGATGATGGTGGTGATAATGATAATGCTGATCATGATGCTGCCGGTAATGATGATGATGGTGATTTTGATGATGATGTTGATGATCATCATCATCATCATTCTGCAGGTGAAGATTATGATGATGATCACGATGTTACCTGTAATAGTGATGATGGTGATGATGATGTTGATGATGATATTGCCGGTCATGATGGTGATGATGATGTTGATACTGATGGTTATCATCACGCTGGTGATGATGGTGATTCTGATCATGATCACGATGCTGCCGGACATGATGATGATGATGGTCGTGGCGATGGCGATGTTCTCTAGAACTCACCCGTTTGTCGCTTATTCGTTTGCTAGAATCTCAGCTCAGCAAAATAACAAAGCAACGTCGGAGTATCTATCACGTCAATTAAAACAACAATCCTACCGATTATGACAAATAATGATAATGATGATGGCCGATGATCTCGTCACTTGTTGTTGAAATCCTTGTTCTCAACAGGCGAGCATACCGTCTTTTATGCGTGGTGGGGCCCCCGCCGCTCCCGCCCCCCACCAATCCACTCCCCCACCTCCCCCCACCACCACCAACCCCCCCCCCCTACCCGCAAAAATCTACCCACCCCCCCTACCAATCCATTCCCCCACCTCCCCCCACCACCACCACCCCCCCCCCCCCGCAAAAATCTACCCCTCCACAATCCACTCCCCCACCTCTCGCCACCAACCCCCCCACCCCCATTTCCCCCCTCCCACGAATCCACGCCCCCCACCACCACCAACCCCCCCACCCCCCAAAAATCCACTCCCCCACCTCCCCCCACCTCCCATCTCCCCCCATCTCCCCCCATCTCCCCCCACCTCCCTCCTCCCCCCATCCCCCCCATCCCACCTGTCCCGGCACACCATCTCAAGGGAAGACCTCAGGGTCGGTGGTTGCGTGAGGGTTTTCGTCGTCGTTGTTGTTGTTGTGGGGTGTGGTGGTAGTGGTGGTTGTTGTTGCGGCAGCGGCGTTGACACGTTTCAGCCGAGGGGAACGCCTCGTTGTGCAAGGAGCAAATTAGCAATTAGTGGGGAGGGTGGGGGGGCTCCAGGGGGAGACGGTGGGTGCACAGGGTGGCAAGAGGGTGGCACGTGTCTCCTGCTCTCTCCGAAATGGCCGGTGCTCAGGAATAGCCAGGGAACGACCGAGACAATGGAGGGAGGGGGAGAGGGGAGAGCGAGATACGTGAACCAGTGACGCTTTGTGGCTGCAATGAAGTCGGATTTTCTTTCAGTTTGTGTTTTTATTTGCTTTCGTATAGATTTTGGTGAGCCAGGCCACTGCACTCACCCAGCCAGCCAGCCACTCACTCACTCAGCCAGCCACTCATTCACTCAGCCAGCCGCTCACTCACTCAGCAACTCACTCACTCTCTCAACCAGTCACTCACTCAGCCAGCCACTCACTCTCTCAGCGACTCACTCACTCTCTCAACCAACCACTCGCTCAATCAGAAACTCATTCACTCAGCCACTCACTCACGCAGCCACTCACTCACTCAGCCACTCACTCACTCAGCCACTCACTCACTTCGCCACTTACTCAATGCAGTGTGTGAGAGTGTAGTGGTAGTGCAATGTGTCACGAGCCCATCCTGGTTAAGAACCACTACACATACGTATACACATAGCACGGTTGACTACATACGGTGCGAAAGGAGTTCAAGGCACGTAAGCACATCTTTATTTAATTAATTTAATGCTTCAAAATGGCTGACAACAGGAGAGGTGAGTGCTGTGGTGATGACGTCACAAGGCAACATAGCGGAACGGCCATTTTCTACATTTGCTCCAAACAAGCGAGGAATTACAAAGAATCAAGGTAAGAGCATTCTAACCCAGTGGTTCTTAGCCTTCACTTGCAGCCTTGCACCCATTTGCTTCTCAATAGTAACGCAAAAAAGTATCATGTTAATAAATACGGACTTTGATGGAACAAAAGTAAATTTTGACTTAAAACTTTCGTGACTGCAGGAATTAATATTTTATATTTCTTTCGGTTAAGTCACGTAGATAGAAAAAAATATATAACAATAACAGAATGAAAATAAAGTGAAAAAAAAATAATAATACAAATAATAAAACATTAAAAAAATTATTTTCATTTTTATATGTATTATTTTATTGTTATTATTATAATTTTTTTCTATCTACGTGATTTTACCGAAAGAACCATTACGTGCCCCATGCTTAATTTGTGTTGTCGATTTACTTCCTAAACAAATCTGGCAATGTCTCGCATCGACCCCCATCCCAAGTTAAGAACCACTCCACTATAATCTACACTATACACTACTTTACGCTACACTATGCCCTCCACTGTACACTGTTATACACTACGCTTTAAACTACTATACACTACACTATACACTACTATACACTCCACACTACTATACACTACACTATACACTATTGTACACTACACTATACACTACACTATAGATTACACTATACACGACTATACACTACACTACTGTACACTACTATACACACTATGCCATATACAACACTTTACACGACTATACATACCCACTACTATCTACCACACTACACTATACACTACTATACACTACACTACTATACACACTATGCCTTATACTACACGAGACGATACTATACACTTCATTACCCCCAGGTTAATAACCACTGTTCTAAACGCTATTATTATATTCATCATTTCTCTGGAATTCACCGACTCTCAAATCACTCACAAGCGGATTTCCAATGGTTGCTCTACACAGGCCACACTGAAGGTCAGTTGCCAGCTCGGACGAACCCTCTCAACCTTTGGTGTGATTCACATCGAGCCTACGACAGGAAGTGATGTTTCATTTTATCTTTTTACGTTGATGGGGACGGCGTAAGTCTTTACAACAACAATTAAAACAACAATCGACCACCGCCACCATCGCCACCACTGTCCCTAATTGCTGGGCCATATTTTACTTGGCAACAACCTCGCCAGCCCTTGCCTGACCTCCGCCGTCCTGAGTCCGTAGATGACAGGGTTCAGCGCGGGCGGCAGGATGAACTGCATGGTCTGGAGGGCGGTCACCCCCTCGCCGGACATGGGCGCACCCAGCCTGATGCCCGTGGCGAACGTGAAGAAGATCGAGGTGAAGTAGACCAGCACGAGGAGCAGGTGCGTGACGCACGTGCTCAGCGCCTTCCGTCGACCCCCGCGGAGTCGCGGCCCCCGACACTCGCGCAGGATGAGCGCGTAAGAGACCGCAACGGCCCCCAGCGGCAGCGCGGTGCCCAGGAGGATGTTGGCGTAGACGACTGGCGCCTCGTAGCTCGCCTCGCCGCACATGAGCCGGCGCACGGCCGAGAAATCGCACGTGGACGACGGCACGACGCGCGCCCGGCAGAAGCGGAGGCGCGCGACCACGGCGATGTAGCCGGCGCTCTGGAGCGCCGCTGCCGAGACGCCGGCGGCCGCGGCGACCCACGCGGTTCTCGAGGCCGCCGCGGCCGCGGCGAGAGCCCGGTAGCGCAGCGGGTGGCACACGGCCAGGTAGCGGTCGACGGCCATGGCTACGAGCACGTAGGCGTGGGCGCGCACGAGCGTGTGGTAGACGAACATGCGCGCGAGGCATTCGCCCGCGGCGATGGAGGTGTGGCTGGCGAGGTCGACGAGGAGGCGCGGCAGGGCGACGGTGCTCTCGGCGATGCCGACCAACGACAGGAGGCACACGAGGGCGTACGGGGGCTGGTGGAGGCGGGGATCGAGGAGAACGACGACGCAGAGCAGCGAGTTGCCCGCCAAGGCGAGGGCGTAGGCGAGAAGGACGAGGGTGAAGGCGCACGCCATGAGGGCGCGCGGCTCGCGGAAGGCGATGTCGACGTAGATGAGGTCGTGCAGTGACGTGGGGGCGAAAGTCGCGGAGGTGGTGGAGGAGGTGGTGGAGTTGTAGTCCATGATGATTGCAGGGGGCGGGGAGCGTAGGATCTGGTCAATTGGGCGGTGAAGGTCGATTACATTGGTCAACACACTTTTTCTGGGATAAGGTATTCCAACGGTTTTAAGGTAATTTTGGGGTGCTGATTCCAAATCTGGCATCAGTTTTTGTCTAGCACATGAGGTTTTTGAGATATCAAATATTGCATTTTCAAAAAAAAATGCGGAAGAAAAATAATAAATAAATGTGGATATCAACATAAAATGATATTATAAACACACTATCCTAAAAATACAGCACCATATTTAACACTAAAGCAGTCACTGACTCGCAACAACTTGCAATCATAAGTGACAGAGTTAATTTGGGTAAAATCAATGAAAATGGGGTATACCGATAGCATAAAAATGAGATGTGATAGAGCAAATCTGAGATCAGATTTGGAATCAGCACCCTGAAATTAGTCTAGAACAGCTGCAATAGTCTAGGCCAGAACATTTTGAATTTTTTTTGTTGACCAGTGTTATGTTTGTGGGCATTCCCCTCCGCACTTCCAATGAGCACCGCTGGCGAGGTAGAGTGCGATAGAAGTTTAACATACATAGTACGGTTGGCTACGTACGGTGCGAAAAAAGTTCAACATACACACAGCGCGGTTGGTTACGTACGGTGCGAAATAAGTTCAACACACACACACACAGCACGGTTGGCTATGTATGGTAGACATTGAGGTGAGTTTGAAAAGGCGGATTAAGAAGTTTTGAAGGCATTTAATTAATACAACAACGATACATATATCATTGGTACCTCATTTGCCAGTAAAAAATATGATAGTTGTTTTTTTTACCCTTTTATCTGGCAACAAAACTGACACCTTTTTTACGAGGAGTCATGTTTGCATAGACATGCAGGTATTGTGGTCTATGCAAACATGACTCCTCGGAAAAAAGGTGTCAGTTTTGTTGCCAGATAAAAGGGTAATAAAAACAATTATCAACGATACATATAGTTTGTGCGCCTAACGCTTGGCGCTCTGGGTAGGCTGCGTGGAGTTTTTTTTCTTGTGATCGCGAGATTTTAAATAGTGTTGTTTTTCACGAAAGGCTTACAATTCAAATTGTAACTAACTATAAGTTGATGTTGCTTCGTCGATCATGCGGAGGATCCTAACCACGCGAAAGTGTCCGATTCAACGTCATTCATCTCAGTGAGAAATGTTGGGGAGACGATCGGCAATTTACACCAAAAATTGTTATTTCGATATATAAAGAGACGTTTTTGATTTAATATATCCAATGCAATCCTTACATTTCAGTCTCTTTCATCACATTTTATGTTCATGAACCTATCGTGTACAGGGCAATTCCAATGGTAGTAAATAATGGAGAAAATTGATACCGACGACATGATAGTAAAACATGGAAAAGAGTATAATAAAATCATGTTAAGTAGCCTTATTATTGGGGTTTGTGCTCCTATGCAGGAAATTAATTCACCAGAATATTCCGTACATCCTGCAGAATGTATGACAGAAAAATTCCTCTAAGATTAGAGGAAGGCAGTTCTAGACTGTGGGAGCAGCACAGGACAATGAGGGAACTCCCCCCCCCCCCTTCCGCGCCACCACACTTCACTGAGCAGAGCACGTGGAGGAGAGTAGAGTGAGATGAGAAGGGAGAGGACAGGAGAGTGCGCGGAGGGGAGTAGAGTGAGATGAGAGGGGACAGGTAGGAGAGTGCGTGGAGGGGAGTAAAGTGAGATGAGAGGGGGGAGGTAGGAGAGTGCGTGGAGGGGAGTGGAGTGAAATTAGAGGGGAGAGGTAGGAGAGTGCGTGGAGGGGACTAGAGTGAGATGAGAAGGGAGAGGCAGGAGAGTGCGAGGAGGGGAGTAGAGTGAAATGAGAGGAGAGAGGCAGGAGAGTGTGTGGAGGGGAGTGGAGTGAGATGAGAGGGGAGAGGCGGGAGAGTGCGTGGAGAGAAGAAGAGTGAGATGAGAGGGGAGAGGTAGGAGAGTGCGTGGAGGGGAGTAGAGTGAGATGAGAAGGGAGAGGTTGGGGAGGTGACTGGAGGGGAGTGGAGTGAGATGAGAGGGGAGAGGCAGGAGAGTGCGTGGAGGGGAGTAAAGTGAGATGAGAGGGGAGAGGCAGGAGAGTGCGAGGAGGGGAGTAGAGTGAAATGAGAGGAGAGAGGCAGGAGAGTGTGTGGAGGGGAGTGGAGTGAGATGAGAGGGGAGAGGTAGGAGAGTGTGTGGAAAGGAGTAGACTGAGATGAGAGGGGAGAGGCAGGAGAGTGCGTGGAGGGGAGTAGAATGAGATGAGAGCGGAGAGGTAGGAGAGTGTGTGGAGGGGAGTAGAGTGAGATGAGAGGGGAGAGGCAGGAGAGTGCGTGGAGGGGAGTAGAATGAGATGAGAGGGGAAAGGTAGGAGAGAGCGTGGAGGGCAGTTGAGTGAGATGGGAGGGGAGAGGTAGGAGAGTGCGTGGAGGGAAGTAGAGTGAGGTGAGAGGTAGGAGAGTGCGTGGAGGGCAGTGGAGTGAGATGAGAGGGGAGAGTTAGGAGAGTGTGTGGAGGGGAGTAGAATGAGATGAGAGTGGAGAGGTAGGAGAGTGCGCAGAGGGGAGTAGAGTGAGATGAGAAGGGAGAGGCAGGAGAGTGCGTGGATGGGAGTGGAGTGAGATGAAGGGGGAGAGGTAGGAGAGTGCGTGGAGGGGAGTAGAGTGAGATGAGAGGGGAGAAGCAGGAGAATGCATGGATGGGAGTGGAGTGAGATGAGAGGGGAGAGGTAGGAGAGTGCGTGGAGGGGATTAGAGTGAGATGGGAGGGGAGAGGCAGGAGAGTGTTCAGAGGGGAGTAGAGTGAGATGAGAGGGGAGAGGCAGGAGAGTGCGTGGAGGGGAGTAGAGTGAGATTAGAGGGGGAGGTAGGAGAGTGCGTGGAGGGGAGTGGAGTGAGATGAGAGAGGAGAGGCAGGAGAGCGCGTGGAGAGGAGTGGAGTGAGATGAGAGGGGAGGGGAGAGGCAGGAGAGTGCGTGGAGGGCAGTGGATTGAGATGAGTGGGGAAAGGTAGGAGAGTGTATGGAGGGTAGTAGAGTGAGATGAGAGGGGAGAGGTAGGAGAGTGCGTGGAATGGAGTAGAGTGAGATGAGATGGGAGAGGTAGGAGAGTGCATGGAGGCGAGTGGAGTGAGATGAGAGGGGAGACGTAGGAAAGTGCGTGGGGGGGAATAGAGTGATTTGAGAAAGTAGAGGCAAGAGAGTGCGTGGATGGGAGTATAGTGAAATGAGAGGGGAGATGTAGTACAGTGTGCGGAGTGAAGTAGAGTGAGATGAGAGGGGAGAGGAAGGAGAGTGCAAGATGAGTCTATGGGTAGTGTTAGTCTCTCTTTTTGTCTATGAGCCGTGTCCTTTCTTCACATTTTGCAGATGTAGATGCCACTGGTTCTTCATGTTCTGCAGATGTAGATGCCATTGGTTCTTCACGTTCTGCAGATGTAGTTACCACTGGTTTTTCACGTTCTGCAGATGTAGATGCCACTGGTTCTTCACATTCTGCAGATGTAGATGTCACTGGTGCTTCATGTTCTGCAGATGTAGATGCCACTGGTTCTTCACGTTCTGCAGATGTAGATGCCACTGGTTCTTCACGTTCTACAGAAGTAGATACCACTGGTTTTTCACGTTCTGCAGATGTAGATGCCATTGGTTCTTCACGTTCTGCAGATGTAGATACCACTGGTTTTTCACGTTCTGCAGATGTAGATGCCACTGGTTCTTCACATTCTGCAGATGTAGATGCCACTGGTGCTTCATGTTCTGCAGATGTAGATGCCACTGGTTCTTCACGTTCTGCAGATGTAGATGCCACTGGTTCTTAACGTTATGTAGATGTAGATGACACTGGTTGTTCACGTTCTGCAGATGTAGATGCCACTAGTGCTTCATGTTCTGCAGACGTAGATGCCACTGGTTCTTCACATTCTGCAGATGTAGATGCCACTGGTGCTTCATGTTCTGCAGATGTAGATGCCACTGGTTCTTCACGTTCTGCAGATGTAGATGCCACTGGTTCTTAACGTTATGTAGATGTAGATGCCACTGGTTGTTCACGTTCTGCAGATGTAGATGCCACTGGTTCTTCACATTCTGCAGATCTAGATGCCACTGGTTCTGCAGATGTAGATTCCACTGGTTCTTCATGTTCTGTGAATGTATATGTCACTGGTTCTGCAGATGTAGATGCCACTGGTTCTTCATGTTCTGTGAATGTAGATGCCACTGGTTCTGCAGATTTAGATGCCACTGGTTCTTCATGTTCTGCAGATGTAGATGCCACTGGTTCTTCACGTTCCCTACAGGCAAACTGGATGTACAGACCGGGTTTTTTCGTTTCTCTGAACGTCCGTCAAATCAAATATTCGTAAGCAGAAAAGAGTCCCTGTCACGATTTTACGAGCAGCCTTATTCGTTGACAACTCGAGTTTGTATATTTTGCTAAGAGTTTGACTCCGAAGCCGAATAGAAAGCACCTGCCCATCCCTCCCTGTGCCCGGTCACTGACGATACCGGCACGCCGACGAGCGCGTTGAGACTTGCCCCGCCACAGGAACGTGAAGTTTCCACCACGCTCAGCTCTGGTTGGGGGTCGCAAGACGGAACGTTGCCGCCTCCTCGACTTGCGACAAATGTAACCCAATGATGCTTTCTCCTCTTGTTTGTGTTTTGTTTCAAGAAAACCACTCTTGTCCTTGCCATAGGAATGGGGAATTTCCGTCGCTCTGTTCGCGTAATGGAAGGAGAGGCGGAGCGGTGCACAGCGCGTGAACGTGCACACCGCTCGGCCAATATTTTGGAGAGTTTTTGAAAGCGTTGGACTTACATTTGCTGAACGTTGGCCCGACGTTGGTTCAACGTTGGTGCGATGTTGGGGCGACGTTGGTTCAACGTTTGTGCGACGTTCGTCCAATGTTGGCGCAAGGTCGGACGAACATTGCTTTGATGTCCGTCCAACGTTGTACCAACAACGTT